CAACCTAATTGATTTATATTTGCGAATTATGAAAGCCGCCCGTCTCGAGGAATTCACTCGGTAGTTGTAAAGATAATGTGACGCGTATATACCTTATCGTTCGCATCGATAACGTCGATTTAATGTGCCTTTCTTTTTCTTTCGGAATCTCACTGTTGACACTCGTTCAAGAGTGAAAAATTGCTCGAGATCAAAGTCAAAGCAAATGACATTATCGATTGGCTTTTAATTAGCCGTCAAGTCTTCGGCAACTAAACAGAAGCCAGCGCGTATTATGAAATCACTATCTTATCCGTGTTCGGCGGTAAAAAAAAAGGGAAAGAGAAAAATACGTTAGCGGCAATCGCAAATGGCCTTTGCGCGCCATTAGATATTCGCAAATTATTACAATGACTTATTTAATTTATGCCTATCGGCTAATCAAGCTACTAAGCACCAGCAGCGCGCTTATCATTGGCGCGCTTATAAGACATTTCACATGTATAGTTGCGGGTCGATCTCAGCCTGCGCAGGCCGCGGCCAATCTAATTAAACGATCAAAGTCACATTGAGAGCAAACGCTATTTGTCAACCGAATATGTTATACCGCCAACTTGTTTTACATCTTGCATTAGCAAAATATTCGTCCACTGCGTGTTAGCGCGTGCAACAGCAGCAGCAGCCATCGCCGTGCGTAGTATGCGTACACTCTCACAAATATACGACACAAACACGTTTGTTCGACGCTCGTAATACATTGTATAAAACTGCGTAGAATATACTGCAAACCTACGTACTTTTTTCCGTTTGAAAAATCCAAGAGGCATACATATATTCGGTTTAAAAGGGAGCTGGCGGATCGCGTGCACGCAAGCGCGCGACGATAATTCGGCCTCCTGTTGCGCAATAAACAGACGCGCGTGCGCGCGAGCCTAGGCCCGTTATTATTGTGTATCCTACGCGTTACAGTGTCCCGAGAGATTATGTATGGGCTTTTTTTTCTTCCTCCTGCCGTGGATGACAGTTTCTAGGCTTATAAGCTCCGCTCATTATGGGGAATATTTTTTAAAGGATTATGAATATGCGTAGCGACAGCTATATACTTGACCTCGAGTCGAGGCGGCGCATAGCGCGCAGCAACACGATCGGCTGTATACACGCACGCATGACGAAGCTGCGCCGAGCATAAAATTACGTTTTTGCCTCGAATCGATTGTCTCCGAGATGCTAGATTCGCGACGACAAATTTTAATTTTACTGCCAATGCGATGCCAAGATAAGAGACATCGAGAATAGCCCGAGAGTTGAACGAACTTTAAAATAATCAAACACTTTTATGGTTGAGAAAAAAAAATCATATCAACAGGTTCAATCAACGATTTATTTAACGTCGTTTAAACACAAATGCGTTTTTTTTCTCCTTATTTATAGTCAAACGAGTTTCGAGCCGTTGCGAAACTGCAACCTGAAAAGAACTGTATCGGTTAAGAAAATACGTTACACACGTTTTAGGATCGATGCTCGAATAAGGTGTGAAAAGCAATTGAAGCTTTTTAGATAATGTAAAACGACGCGTTATCTTACATGTGCAAAGCATTAATAATGGCTCGAACATTGTGATAGCGAGAAAAAAAGACTCATTCGTTACGCGTAGAGCAGCAGCAAGTTCCGGTATCCCGAGCCAATCTATCAATATTCTGAATTTGAGCATTTTAAAAACAAACCGATAATCGTCTAGATCGACTTTTTCCCTGCATACACACAGACGTTTATGCGATATATAGCGCGGATTTTTTTCGACATAATCACGATTAAAAACGTGTCCCAACGGCATTCCAATGTCCGCGCTCGCTCGCGTATATATGTACAGCGCATAGCTCTCGAGCGTCTTTTGCTCGAAAATGATCTATCTTAATGTAGCCAAGCTGTTGCTGCTGCTGCTGCTCTCTTAACGACAACCGGTCTTGTATGTTCCTCACGCGCCAAGTTTCCATCGGCAACAACACACGACCGATCATAATTATAATACACACACATACAACGTTCGGTGTACGCAGGTACACGAGTCTAAGCAGATCCAGAAGGCTTGCTTTCGTTTCTCTGCATTTGACCTTGTCGAATTTCAGGATTCGAGACGTAATTTTATACATCGCCCACAGCCTCGCTGTGAGTAATTGGTCAAAATATTTATTCGCGCTTACCAAGTATATAATTTTTTTTCATCGCAAGCTGCGAATACCCGACCTTTGATTCAAATATAAGGTTAAGGTCTCTGCTTGTACAAAAGTGATGTAGCTCAAAGTGAGGCGCGATTGAAAGTTACTGGTAAATTTTTAAAGACGCGAGAGGTTCAAGTCAGTCGTGTCCAACGACTCGAGTAACAAGCACGCTTCGAGACTTTTGAGACAGATTCTGGCTAAAAGGGTTTAAATCAGTCGAGTTTCTCACATGCTCGGATGCTTCGTTTTATTCTCTCGCGTCAAAGCTCCGTTTTCGTGGCCTGCATTGTATATAGTCGCGCGCGCGCGTGCGTGCGTACGCATATAAACACTCGTAAAGTCGAGTGTGCGTTCGAAAGGCGAAAAGCTCGATTAGTTGGAATAGTTGGAAGAAGCAGAAGGAGAAGCAGCAGCAGCAAAAACGGTAGCTTCGTTCGAACGCAGCAATTTCAATAATTCGCCAATCCCTTCTCTAGGCGAGCACGAGAACGAAATGCGTCGACGAGCGCGTCCCTACTCTAGTCTGCGCGTCCGAGCTTGGCTGCTGCTTCTCTCCTTTCAAGTATGAGAGGCCTCTAATGATGGGCATATATACGAGCGAGAGCAGCAGCAGCAGCGGCAGCCGAGAGTAGGCGCGCACATGCACACATACACGCACGTCGAGTCCGAAACGGCCGAGATGGAAATAGACATTGCGCGCGCAAAGGTGGCTCGAAATTCCTATATTATATAGTCGACTGTCGCCGCTACTCTACTGGGTCTATTGCTGCACGTACGCACGGACTCCACTTTATATAACGTAGAGGAGTGAGATTTCGATTATTTGATTTGTGAATCGACGTTATGAACATTCGCTTCGGATGAGCTCGTGTAAGAGCAGACGAATTTCTGCCGCGAACACATCGCGGCACCGTAGACAAGGAAAAGTTCCCGAGCCAATGAAAATAACGAAGAAACAAGAAAATGGTATAATAGAGAGTCTCGTCGATGATTTTCATATACTGGCAGAGCCGCATGCGTCGTCGTACATGTATACAAAATCTTAGTCATGCAAAAAGAGGCATCGTCAGCCGGTATATAGTGCGCGCACGGCTAAAAGCGTCTCCGTGAATCTCCTCGAGTATCGCTGTCATTCTTGGATGCTCTTTTTTTTGCCAACGAAATGCGCATTCTTTGCAAGCTGTGCCTCCTTTGTTCGCTACACATACGCCAGTCTATACCGCATATATACGTACGTCGCACACGGACGGACGGACAGACGGCCGGGTTTCAGTCGAGAGCTCGTCGTGGCTCACCTGTGCATCGCGCAGAGTCGAATATCAGCGAGCGCGGAGTATCCTATGATGCGGCTTAAAGAGAACTGCCCCCCGCTCGTATACGGGGGGGCATGCGAGGTGTTCCGTTGCCACGCGATGGAAAGTTTGATTTCGACCGAGAGCGAGAGAGAGAGAGGAAGCAATCGATACTCTTCCCTCCTACTCCTTCAGCGCCGTGCCGATGCTTTATTATTATTGCCAGCTTTCGACTTATATTTTACCGATCGAATGGAAAAATAATCGATCGGCCGATACATGGCTTTGATAAGGATTCGAACGGCAATGCGCGTTTCCGTCTCTCTGCGGCGCGGCTAACTTATCCGCGCACCGATACCGCCACAGGTGACTCATCTCGCTCTCGACACACACGTGCGCTGGAGATTTTTTTAATTGATATAATATGTATATTCCACGGGACTGGTATGCGAGACGGCGATTGTTGCATTTTTTTGCATTGCGTCAGCAACAATCGACGATATACTTATATACGTACATTAATATAGCGCACATTGAACACGTTGTTTGTTATTTGCAAAAGTGCGCGTGCACAGCTGCGAGTCAGCGCGCGCGCGTTTCGTATTTAGTGCATTCCGCGAGCTCATGATATTGTTATTATATGTTTATGCTTTTGCTGATAAGCAGTCGATCGATTTTTTTCTTATTCGATTTTGATTTCTGCTTGACTTTTGCAAAAAATTTCGTGTGTAACAGTTGTGAAGTGTGTAGCTCGCGCGAATATTCCGTGCCTACACCGATGTGACGGCGAATTCTCTCTCTCTCTCTTCGTGTGTCTTTCTTTTAGGAGCGACATTCACACACATAGACTCGAGAATAAAAGACATTCTCTTTTATTCTCTTTCTCTCTAATGCTCAAAAGCCAAGACACACAGCGGCGGCGCGGTACACAACGTCGCGCTTGAATATATACGTAGTGGAGCCAATAACCTACGCACATACACACACACACAGTACCCACACATACACATGCATTGAAACAGACACATTCGCATGAGTAGCAGTAGTAGTATATCTACACCGGGTCCAGAAGAGAAGAGATCTGCGAGACCGAGCGAATATACTTATACGAAGAGAGGGAACGTTCAACTCGTTCTACGAAATACATACACCTATATGGCTACATGTGTGTGAGTGTGTATCAGTGTATGTACTGTGTGTGTGCCTGTGTTGTGTATAAGCATGTGTATAATATATATAATACGCGTACACACAAACATTGCGCATGAAAATATATAGATGTGTTCGTAACGACGAATCTATTTTTGCACATCACACTTTTTTATTCTACGCACGGAGCACGCGTCGCGCTTCCATTCTTAATATTGGAGCTTTGCTGAAACTTGGCGAGTCAAACGTATACGCTAAAATCGAGTAAATCGATCGGGATGTATATTTATCATGGTACACTACATGTCTGCAACGACAACATCCGATCACACGAACTCTGCCGAATTTACGCTGCGCTCACCTTTTGTTTAGTCTGCGCGCTGTTCAAGTCGAAGATGGTGTCGAGGCGACTGCTCGATGCTCAGGGCTCCAGCTACGGAGGAGAGAGAATCTTTACAAAATCGTAACGTCGAAAAAATCGCCGAAAATCATCACTCGCGAAACCCGCGCGCGGCCCCTTCAGCACGAAACACCGTCGTCGTTGTATTATTATTATTTCTCTCAACACTGTTTAGTCGAATGAACGTGAGAGGCCAACGACTGAGTCGGCCTATAAACGCGTGTATACTCGTATACAACACAAACTAGCATGGAATCACGATACGTTGTAGTACAACATCGACAGCAGCAGCAGAAGCAACAAAAGTAGTAGATACTAGCAGTAGTAATAGCAGCGGTCGGCACTCGCGTCACGGAGCTCGTGTGCGTATGTGTACATATACGCTTTTTTTGCGAGCTCGCGTGCAAATGCGTGTGCTGTGCGCTTATAGCCTCTGGCGCAGCATCCAAAGTGCAGTGCGCAGAGGCACCTTGCACACGCTCCTCTCTCCGTATTGGCCCTGCGCTCTTTGCTTTGCCTACTCTCACTGCTCGCTCGATGCTTACATCTATTCTTTTTCAACGCACACTCACTTTTTTATACTTTATACGAGAGAGAGAAAAAAAGACAGTAAAATCCAGCCGCTTTTCTCTTTTTCAAAGCACAACGAAAATATTCACACTTTGGCCTCGCAGTCTCGTCGCAAGCACTAGAATTTTCTTTTCTTTTATCAACACTCCACGAACGAATTCGGATGCACGAAGGCTCGGAACGAATAGTACGTATCTAATAAGGAGAAATGCAAAGCGAACGTCATAAAGTTTCAGCAAAAACGACTCGCGACAGACGGTGGCGGCGGCGGCGACGGCAACGGCGACGTGCTTACGGACCGATGCACTCGGCAGCTCGAGTTGGACTGAGGAGGAGGCCGAGAGGCGAGGCTCGGCCAGGCAGGCAGCGCAGCGCAGCTCTCGCGACTCGCTCGAGGTTTGTCGCGGCGCAAAATTTCGCCGCGGCGTGGCGCTAGCGCGCGGGGCATTACAATCTGCTCGCACGGCGAGTGCTTGCTTATCCGAGCGCAAAGCAGAAAACGTGCCTCGTATATTCGAAGCGCTAGCAAAGACTCGAATCGAAGACACAGTTTTTTCTCGAAATTTCATCGAGTTGCTTTTCATTATTGAGTTCATATCATTTTCATTTCAATCAGTCCTTGAATTATCGTAGCAATAAGAGGCTGATTAAGAAACGATGTTTTGGTATCCGGACGAAAAAAGGTATAATTTTTTGCTAGGCCGATGAAAATATACTTCGAACCAGAGTTCAGCCTGATGGTGAGACACGAGTGTGTCTTTATAAAGTTGCGGATCAGCGAACGTGACACGCGGAGAAGGGAGTGTTCGGGAGGCGTATTTTTGTCCATGGACTTTTCAACGGACTTCCAAGGTACTTGCTCGACTATACCATTCATAGCTCGTACGTTACTTTACTCTCGTGTGTTTTTTTCGCTCGATATTTTAAACTAGGAGTAATAATTTGGATAAAATAAAAACTGAAACAAAAGAAAGAAGGCCGCACGAAAGGCTTTTGCAAGAGTCGAAGCTGCGGTTGCTCTTGCGAGATTCAAAATTACCCGGAAAAACGGCCAAATTTCGTAAGTGCGAAAAACTGCGCGGACAAAAAAGTATAATGTTCTCCGAACCTGCCTATTATAATGCAGTCTGGCTTACATACATATATACGCTCTTTACACGTGTGTGTGAGTGTGTGTATGTGTGTGTGGAGAATAATAGAGCGCGAGTTTGAATACAACTATGCACTTTATTGTTCGCTATATAAGAGAGCGCGAACTAACGGTCTGGCGCGCGATATTGTTATAGCTACAGCCTCTTTGTGTGTCGTGTACGTGTAGGTCGCGTGCGGCAACTCCGGCGCTGCTGCTGCTGCTGCCGAAAATCCTGCTCTCGCGAACTTGTGCATTTTCAGAAATCATTGCGAAACAACAGACATACTATATACGATATACGGGGAGTATATTATAGTCGCAAAATCGCTTTATTATAAACTCGAGTGGCAAAAACGCGCCTTAGTTCCATGTTAAAAGGATAGATCCTAGGTTAAAAGGATAGGACTAAGGCACGTTTTTGCCACTCGAGTTTATTAATGCAGTTTTTGCGCTTGGGCGACGATATTATGTATGTACGTCTCGGTTTCGCGCCAGCTCTTATAATAATGCAGACAACATCGGTCGCGCGATTTCTTACGGCGCAGGTATTACACGGCCTTACGTGTGTTCCATAAGGTAACCTCGACGCGGTTAGTGCAAAATTATGTTTTGGCTAGATTTTTAGAGATGTTTACACACCAAGAATGTGCCAGAAAACTGCTGAATTTTTTATAATTTAATCCGTTCAACATTACATAACAATATATTTGGAAACCAAGAATCTGTAAAAGCCAAGAGTCACCAACAGAATTGAAATTTATTTCGATTGGTTGCAATGTTGCGTCCTAGCTACGGGACATTCAATCTCCAATGTTTATTGGAGAAGGTTAGCGTAGCGTCCTTTCGTTAAAAAATAAAGGACAGCAATTATCCCCCATGCAATTACATTTTCAATGTAGAAAGTCTGTAGCTGGAAATATTTTTCACTTTGCCTCCTCTGCCAAAAAGCTCTCAGTGATGGGCTCGATAAGATATTTTGAACCATAGGACCATCACAGGACAATTTGGTTTAAATATTTGTAAACTAGATCAAACTTGTGAAAAATGACTGTTGGAAATTGGTCTACACTATCTCTAAATCGGTGTTGAGATGTTGCTGAAATAAATATGGCTTCTTTTATTTCGTTTTTTTCGTAAGGTTAATAGTTCTCTACGATTCAAGTACCATATAAATCAATCGTTTTATAAAGCTGCGGTGATGTCTATCGATAAAACAGATACTTTTATCTATTTTCTTTGTTTTTTTTTGTAAAAGGCTGAATAAATTAGCCATAGTCTAAGGGAAAGTAGTCAAGAATGGGGAAACATACAGTAAGAGAAAGAGATGGAAGTGAAAAAGCCGCTTAATTTTGGTGCTTTTGCATAGCTAGGTACGTTTATCGAATTTCTCGAAAACAAATATCGAGTCGTCAATGACATGGTCACGATCATATTCGATGTACGCTGCGGAGCACTCACGCACGCAGGCACAAGAACGTGCCTTGCTGCTTCTTGCCCTTCGACTCTATATACCACGCGCACCACAGCCATATAATCGATGAGCGATCATTCGCTCAAATTACTGCCTAAGCTCGGATCGCTCACGGAATCCTCGCGCGCACGCACCAATACACAGTACACACACACACACACACACACGTATACGGATGAAATTTTTGCATGTCAGATCACGCACCGCATCATCATCACGCGCGGACGATCTTTGTGTGCACGGCTCGAAAATCGATCGATCGATCGATCGGCTGCTATAAGTGTGTGCTTTCTCCCGATCCTCGTGTATGAGAGTACGCTCGCAAATACAGATATAGACGGCTGCGCGCACTCGTGTATACGCGCGGAGGAAACTTTCACGCAATCTCTCGCGCGACGCGCATGCAGTTTTTTTTTTTTAAATAAAGAGGAAAAAATCGTGTCGACGACGAGCGCGCAGCACCTGTGCGCTACAGCTATACTGTATACTGCGTATACATATAGAAGGCACAAAAGATAGCGATCCGCGGGAAAATCTCGAGGGAAAGATAGCGCGGACTCTCTCGCGCTTTATACTACGGCGACTATACGTACTCGGCTCGGGATATAATGCGAGCGCGCAGCTTCGGTATAGCATTTTCGTGGGTCCACGGGTGGCTAGAGCATCTTCACGACGAAACTGTCATTATCGAGCGCGTGCCAGCGACTGTATCCGACTCGGGGGTGTTCTCGCCTTTGGAACAATCATCTAATCGATCGCTTTGTGCAAAAGCCATTTTCTTTGATCGTGCGCAAGCACCAACCTTTAACTCTCCCAGAGTCTCGAGAGCTTGAGTTATAAGAGAGAGAGAGAGAGAGAGAGAGAGAGAAAAAAAAGGAGACGTTTCGTTCTCTCCTGGTCGGAAATAATGTAAACGCGCGAGGATCGACGTATGCAGACGATCGCGTGGAAGGCCGCTCAAGCGATTATCGCCGATATAAACGTATACGTGCGAGTCTTAGTGTGTGTGTGTGTGTGTATAGCGTGCGATCGTCCGGGGCAGCGCAAAGGTGGGCGCGTGTATACGTCCAGCTAATTTCTCTCTTTTTCTCAATCTTTTCTGTCTCACCCTCTTGCCCCGATCGCTCGCTAATTCTCCGCAGGCCGCCGCGAGAACGAAGAATAAAACTCGGGGCTTCGTGCTGTATACGTTGAGGCACGTCATCGCGCACTGCGCCCGTATAGTATACTTGCCGAGATCGCGTTTTGTGCATTGCCGCAGCCGCCAAGGCTGATATTCTCCTCTACGGAAGAAGCTTCTTTATCTTCGAAAGTGCATAATAACACCTTGCCACGGACTTTCTCTCGCTAGACGCGTATTGTTTTCCGCGCGCGCGGGCCACCGTACAGCATGGTACACGCCGACTGCACGCACAAGTACACACACACACACACACACACACACACACACACACACAGCGCCAGACAATCCGCAGCGAGGATTTTTCTTCTCTCTCTCTCTCTCTCTCTTAAGGTTGCCCTCCTTTTCTCTATACCATATTACCATATTATTTTCAAACTGACGAATTTATTTATCACTCGTTAGCTGCAGCTCTCTCTACCTGCCTATACAACATAATAGTTGTAGCATTATTTATGCATCGTAAACGAGCTTTTACAATGATGTGCTCTCGATATATCGACTCTTTTCTCTCCGCACCTGAATAAATCTCATCAAAGATCTCTTACTCGTTGCGAGAGGGATGCGAATAAATTGACAATTAGCAGAATCGAAACGAAGCGAAAAAGAGATGTGACTGGTCTATGGGCGACAGAATGTGTAGCACGACATAGTGCAACTTCGCTTAGGCGATGCGTGCGGCCGCCAAGAAAACGTCTCGGCTCGTAAAGCAACTCGAATTACCTTTGATTTATCACCGAGGATGACGTATACACAATATATCCGCAAACGACATAGCAGTCGAGAGTTATACATTTTGCGCGCTGCAGGACAATCGTAACAGATTTTACATTTACGATGTCAATAGTCCGTGCGTGAATTTACGCGTGAAATAAATGTAACGCGCGAAATTCACTTATAGTTTTCGACGATGGTTACACATCTCAATCAGAAATGACGCAAATAAATTAATGCGTGGGTTTGCGCGTGGCCGTTCGCCGAACTCGTCGATGACAGATTCACGTGTTTCTGTTGTGGGCTCGTCGAGTCACGGTCAAGCGAGAGAAGTTATCGCAGCGAGATTTTTTCAAAATACGCTTATCGATTAGAGTAATTTTATCTACTTGCGTATGGTAGCGTAAATTCATATGGACAAAGTGCGTCACCTACCACACATCCATGCTTCCAAATGGGCGCGTGACCATTGTGTAAAGCACTTTTCAAAACTAACAATTCTATCTGGACAAATAAATGATAAAGCGCCGCTTTTAATTCCTGCTCTTGTTTTTGAAACCGCACCAAAACTCAACACTCGCCGCCTCCAAGTTTGTACTGTTGTGTGTATAACAATCAAGAGCAGTAAAACTCGAAGCTCGTATTATGGCTTTTCGTCATTTCGCTGAAGAAAAAGACCTCGCGAGCCGAGCTGAGTCATTAAAAAGGTCGTCTGCGTTTACAAGGCGCAACTCCGCAGCGAGTGCGAGTTAATTTTACCGCGATTTTAGCGCGTTATCGTCTACATATAGAAATATACAATAAAATCTCG